GATTTTTTTTTCTAGAGACAGGAAGATACACTATTGTAATAATCTAAGTGAAAATAATTTCCCAAACAAGGGTGAGTGGTGTAGTTGAGAGAGGAGGAGGAAGCAGACCAAAAGAAAGGAAGGAGGTAGAGTTCTGGCTCTTGGTGACTAACTGGATGTGGTGGGGAGAGATGAATAGTGGCTGTTTCCTCTGGAGGGACCTAAAAAAGGGGCATATTCCAGGGAGGAGGCGAGCAGTTTAGTTTTAGATGGGCTGTATTAGGAGTGCCTGTGTCATCATCCATGTGGAAATGTTCAGATAACATCAAGGTCATTTCTTCTTCATGGAGATGGAAGAATTGGTGCCTTCAGTATCCCAAACGTCCCTAGATTTGTTGTGTGTGCACACATTCAGGGACCAATGCAGCCTACAGAGGGAAACAGGCCTTGCAGCTCAGGGACCCAGCTTTTCCCATGATGTTGTTCCTGAGTTTCTTCTCTTCCAAAGCATCTATCCCTTTGTGGTGAGACTGCTTCTCTGAGGAATGCTGGCAGGATGGAGCACACATCTTCTCTTTGATCAGAAAGGTGCTTAGCTAACGTCCTTGTACATGCAAAGGAGACGAATGAGCTGAAAATGCACATGGAGCACATTTAAAACACCCAATTCAGAAAAAGTCAAACCAACCACTATCTATGTAGCAATACTAGCATTAAAAACATTTATTAAGAGCGTACTTGATGAAGAACTCTGGCAGGCATTCCATGAAAATCATTTAGCACTGTCTATCACGCAACAGCAGGTAAAGAACAAACCTTCAAATGTAACAGGAAAACTGACAAACAATCACCCTCAGGCAAAAGTGATTAAACTTGAACAAATACAAACATATCAAAGAATACAGTTTGAAGCATGGTAAGCTTAGTTATACATGAGACAAAATAAAATATAGAGCAATAGCTACTTGCTTTACAAGCTATCAAAAAAAAAGCTTCATTGAGGACACAAGGCTTGAATTATTTGTAAAAGCAAGATCTTGGATTTCTAGGACGAGTAGAACTTGCCGTGTTAAAAAAAATAGGTTAGAAATAGCTTGTATGAAGGAGCAAGATAATCTGATGAAAGAAGTTATTTTCTCAGAAAGAGAAGATATGTAGAATCATAGAGGTAGAGGGTACATATCATAGTTGCAACTTCCAATGGAAAGACCTTTTGATAACTATGATTACTGATGTAATATCTGTGCTCAATATTATCCAATGAGACTGTGTAAGTTATGAGTACATGTAAAACCACCCCATAAGGTACCATATTAGTATAATTAAGTTTTAAATTACATTACAGTTTTATTATTCATTCTTCCCAGGCTTTGTCTGAGTACTTCAGTTATAGGTTTTTAGTTTTCAAATATAATGAGAACGTGTTTAAACATGGATATTTTAGGTAGTAAAACTACATTTCTATTTCAGGTAAAAGAAAAAAACTGTATGAACAGAAAAACTCTTGGATAACAAGGAAATTATTTTCATTTCTTTTATCTTTAATGATTAGAAAATAGTCTGAAAAAATCCAGAACATTTTCAATACCATAATAGTTCTACCCTCAAATGATGGTGGAATGAGCATGTTTATAATTGCAACCAAACAACTTTCACCACAAATGTCTACAGATGTAAGAGGTTTTTGCAAACTATATCTTATAAACAGAAATGTATCAGGCTAAATTTTCTTATTCCTGTTAACATTGATAATAATATTTGTTTAAAAAGAACAGTCAAATAAAGCCATTTATTTTATACAAGTCAGATGGGTAATATGCAATATTCATTTAGAATGAAATACATATTTTTTACATCTGCACTCCCATGTTTATTGCAGCACTCTTTACAAATGTCAAGAAATGGAGATAATTATGTTAAGTGGAGTAAGTCAGGGACAGAAACACAAGTATTTCATGATCTCACCATATGTGAAATGTAAAAGACTAACCTCGTAACAGTTGAGAGTGGAATGACAGTTACCAGTTACCAGAGGCTGGCAAGAGTAAGGAGGAGGGAGGGGTGGTGTATTAACTAATGATCACTTTAAGTGGGAATGCCCAGCTGAACTTAGTCATTGTGGTCCTGATTGCATGCTGCTGATTTCCCAGGAGAAGCTTTGTTGTGGCTGGTTTTCCTGATATGAACTCAACTGTGCCCAGAGGAGCTTGGGTCCTTGCTGTTGCTGGGGATGGCTGCTGTTCTGTCAGGGGAGCTCTGGTCTTCACCTTGAGCATTGCTTCCTGGCTCCTATGCAGATCCCTCAGGACTCTGACAAGGATCCTTCAGCCTGCCAGCGCAGACTTTCTAGCTTCCACCACTGGCCTTTGGGGCTTCCCAGTGTGGATCGTCCATGTGGACTTGCATGAGACACTGCTGTGGGCTCTAGGGCTATGGCTGGACTCATGGAGGACAACACCCTGGGATCCAGGCCCTGGGCTGTGTTCTTCAGGTCTCTCAGGTGGATAGATCTCTTGCACTTTTCTGCATTTGACTTTTTTGGTGAATGTTAGAAGATACTCATATAAATGTATGTGTCTTGTATCAAATCTATTTCCTTGCAAATCACTGACTACAATGGGAGGCCTGGAGAAAGGTGGCTGGTAGCTACTAGTTTCACTCAGGTAAGAGTAAGACGTTCTGGTGCACTATTACATAGTAGAATGACTACAGATAAAAATAATGAATTGTACTATTCAAAAAGCTAGAAGAAAGTATATTGAAAGTTTTCACCAGAAAGAAATGATAAATGTTTGAGATACATACGTTTAACCTGATTTAAACATTACACAATGTATATGTGTCAATTCAAGGCACATGTGACCCAATTAATGTATATAACTTTTGTGCTTTTGTATATCTGATAAAAATAAACTTAATTTAAAATAAAAATTATAATCAAGTATATTTTTATATCTTCCACAATAGAAATCAAGAGGATTCATTTCTCATATTCCATTGTATGCAAAGTAATTATAATATTGGCAATAGCAAAAACAAGTTTTAGTGAGCACCTACTTTGTGAAAGGCATTGTTCTAAGTGTTTTTCATATGCCCACTAATCTAAACCCATAAATCCCCTGTGAGGAGATACTGTATTTGAGGGAAGAAGTTAGCACTATCTATAATCTTAGGCATCAAAAATTTTCAGGTTACAATAATCTACTATATATTTTATGAAGGACTAAAAGAGAAGAGATCTAAGACTCCAAACCCAAAGAAATAATAAGGAAATGAAAAAGCTAATTTTCTTGATTTACACATTATATACATGTATTGAATTATCATACTGTATATCTCATAAATATGTACAATTATTAAATGCCAATAAGATATTTAGAGAAAATTATTTAATGTGTTTTGAATATTAACAGGGACCAGGACACAATATAAAAAATTTAATTCCTGATCAAATATTTGAATGTAATCTAAGAATAATACTAGAGGACAGCCATGTAAATTGGGCTTTACAGAGAACTTAATGAGGAGAAAATAATCTGTCAGGTAGAAAGTAAGGGACTTTTAGAGCCAAGTCAGATTTATCCTAGAAAAAGATTCATAGGGAAAAGGCTATTTGCCTTTCATGGTCATTTTGACTTTGGGGAAAAGCCAGAAATGACCTGCTGCCAGATCTAGTGAGTGAGGTAACACATTGTAATGTTTTTGCAAGCCTTCCTAGATGGCACACAGCAGCAGCATTCACTGTATTTTTGATCACACCTTATAAAAACACTCACAAAAGAAAACTTTCAGAACTGCTTCAGGAAATGGTAAGGACAATGGGATAAGTCCAAAGCTAGGGGGAGTATTAAAGGGAGACAAAGTGTTGACTCACTGTAATAATTTTTTAAAAGTTTAAACATCCACTGTATATTTTGATCACATCTCATATATAAGTATTGTTATGAATATTATCCACTTAACAAAATATTTTTCAAGTATAAAATACTATATAAATGAAATATGTATATTATTTTTGGGTTCAGTCACAAAACATTCTTTTTTTTAATCTCGTTCTTATTGACATAAATATCTTGGCATCAGTTTAGAATTAAGTTATGCTAAGCTTTTGAAATTCTTAGGCAGGTAATGACAGAAAGAGAAAGTATTTCTGTGCTGAGCCTGAGGCAGGATTACATTCCTGAGCCCACACTTCAACTTTTACACTTGAGCATCAAGTCCTCTGTTGTCAACAGAATCTTCTAGCAAAAAAACCTCATCTCATGGTCCATTATAGAATCTACCCTCTAGGCACAGCCCCAGGCAAGGGATATGCCTGAACTTGGAATCAGAGAGAACCGAACAGCAGATAATGCAAATAACCAGCTTAATAAATACACACTGGGTTACAGGATATTCTTTTTAGCTATTCCAGCATATAAATCTTGGGAAAGTTTAAATTAACTGGTTTTTCTGATTAACTGAATGTCACTCTCCATATATCATAGGTCTAATTCCCCCCTCTTCACCACCATGTCCTGTGCAATCAGCAGTAACAGTGTGCCAGAGGTTTAGTAAGGCACAATGACAAATAGAGGAAGTTGAGATAACAGGTCTGTGCCCCTTGGTTATAGAAGTAGTGGCTGGAGCTAGTGAAAACTATCATAAATTGTGCTGAAGGAAAGAAGGCAAGTCTAGAGCCAAGGGTAATAGAAAATTACACAATTGTATCTATCCACTGGAGCCAGAAGGAAAGCCTGGGTGGGGGTCAGTTTGGTGTTGCATGAATAGAGAACCTATGCCTTCTGTTCTAGGAGGTCCAGGGAAACTGCCAGCCTCCCCCAAACAAATCACCTATGACCATCCCTTGGTGCCACCAGTTAAGTCGAAATCATATCGGTGAACATGAGAGAAATGGAGAAAGGTCCTGCTCCCTTGTTTGTGTCTCATAGCTGCACAAAGGGATGTGGTATGAGATGTCTATGACGTGGGTTTTCCCCATAGAAATCTGTGGAGCTTGTGGTTACACTCTGTCTGACTATCAGCTCCTGCAGGTAGGGTCAGCTTTCCAAGACCATCTCTTGGAAAGTCCTTTGAAGGACTGAAGCTCATCACCTGTGCTGAGAACCTGGAAGGTGAAACTAAAGTTGGCAAGGTAACTTTGTTCCTTTTCTCTACCGTGTATCGGCATTGTGCAGGGAGCCCCCACGCATCCAAACATTTGGAAATGACTGAGTTTAAAACTGGAAATAGCTGAAAAAATTCTTAGTTTAGCTGATGAAACAAGACTAATATTCTGTATCAGGTTTAAAAAATGAAAGGTGTCCTTCAAGTCAGAAATTAATTTTAATATTGGAAAATGGTCACTGAACCTCATGCCTGCTACTATAATAATAACAAGTCAAATGTGCTCTTCTGGGGATTTCTGTCCTCCCTAATGTTCTCCTAGATAATCATCTGGCTGCCACTAAAGCAGCAATCTCAGTTGCATGGGAGCCAAGAAAATCTCGGGTCCTATGTTTGCTAATTGGACATAACAATTCATGCTCAGGGGCAGCAGGTGAAATGAGCTTTACTCAGCCAGAATTGTTTTGGCTTTTATTTTTTTGGTTACTCCCTTATTCTAAATTCTCTGGCCCTTCAAGCTACTTTTTGGCCAGTGGTTCTCTGATTCTTCACCCAGGCATAGTAAATACTCATTCCACTCTATCTGGAAATGCTGAGGCTTTCTGTGGGAGAAGATGAGGGTTTGACGTTGGATAGAGCTTTGTGCATCTCTGAAACTGGATCACTTTAAAATTAATAAGAGCTCATATTAAAACTAATTCATAAGGGACTAGAAGTTACAAACATTAGACAATAATATTCTGACATGTGACCTTTCCATTTTAAATATAACACAAAATAGAGCTTGCAAATTAAATTATTGAGAAAAATATGTGGGTCTGTGGTACAGCTCTAGGTTAAATTAAATAAAATTTAATAATCTTTAGTTTTAAAATTAAAAATGGAAGCACAAATGATTGCCTGTGACTGATTGCTGTAGTGGGTACTTATATTATTAAGGTATATTTGGGGAAAGGTTAGGATGCAACAACCAACTAACAAAACTCATGCTTCTATTACTTTTCAAAAGTGTTTTAATGGAATTTATTACATGATATGACCTCTACAGCAGGTCTTATTTTTTTCCCATTTTACAATCAGATGTTTGTAAACTGAGTGGTTAAGTGACATGCTACAGGGTTATATTGGCTTATGCTGGAAGCCAGAAGACACTCCTGCCCTCCAGCCTAGAGTCTATTAATTCATTCTATCTCAATCAACTCTTCCATGCCCCAGAGACACAGCAGAGTAGAAAACCAAGTCCCTTAAACACAAATGTACAGTGGTTCCGGTAGTGATTAGTACTTAAGAGAAAAATAAGACAGGATAGGGGGACTGGGATGGGAATGAGAAATGCCTCTGTGTCTGTTGGGAGAAGGGCAAATTTAATCTTACGGGAAAACGACCGGGAAGGCTACACTGATTACTTGACACCCCTGTCACCTTGTCATATTATTAATTTGTGACAATTAAGTAGAGACATGAAGAAAATGTAGGGATGGATTGTGAAAATATCTGGAGGAAGAGAAACACAGGTTAGGGATTGGCTAAATATGGCCCACCACCTGTTCTTTAGTTTTACTGGCACACTGCCATGGTCAGTTGTTTACATACTGTCAGGGCTGCTTTCCAGTACTACTGAGTAGTTGTGACTCAGGATGTATGTGACCCACAAAACTGAAAATATTTACTATCTAGTTCTTTAAGGAAAAAATTTGCTGACCCCTAGTTTATTGAGAAAGAACAATAAAAGCAATGCCCTGAGGCACAATGTGTGTACTGTGTTGAAGAACAGTGAGAAAGCAAGTGCAGCTATGTTGGAACAAGAGAGGAGAGAGGGAGAAGAGATAAGGAAAGACAGAGAGGGGACTGCATCCTGTAGGGCTTTTATAGGCCATTGTAAAGAACCTTTGATCTTTACTTACAGGGAAATAAGAAAAGTCCCTGGAGGACAGTGAGCACAGACAGGACTGATATAATTTGAGTTTCATTTTAAATTGGCCCTTCTGTTTAGAACAGATGAGAGTGTGTTTGATATAAAGTAATAATCAAGATGAAAAATGATTCTAGCCTGTCTAAGCAATGAAGGTGAAAGTTGTGAATATTTTTCAAATTCTAAATATATTGTAAAGATAGCGATGATAAGATTTGCCAATGAACTTAGCAGAGGTTTGGGGGTGGGTGTGGATGGGGAGAGGTGAGCAGGTGGCCTAAGTTTACTGGTGTGAGCCTGAAGAACATCTGGGAGGGTAGAATCACCTTGAACAGACATATGGAAGATTGTAGGATGTATATCATTGGTAGTAGGAAGAATTTAATTTGGATATTAAATTTTAGATGTCTCCTGAGTATCCAAATGGAGATATTAAAGAGGCATTATAAATTAAATCTGGAGTTCAGGTGAGAAGTTTGAAATGGATATACAAATTTGGGGGTCAGCCATGTTTACCTAATGTTTAAGTCATGAGTACAGAACAGAGTCAACTAGAGAATGGCTGCAGACATTAAAGAAAATGACTCGAATAGCTACCACTTAACTTCAATACATTAGATAGGAATTTTATACTGGGTCTCTAATTTTACAACTCCCAGGTAGGTATTTGTAGCCCGCATTTTTCACATGAGAACATGAAAATGTAACTGTTAAGGGACTTGTCTGACTCTCTTTAGGTTGGGACTAAATTCAAGATGCCTGCCTTTACATTTTAAGCTTTCTCTGTTATTCCATAACATAAGAAACAGAAATACAAAAGTGAACATCAGTTGGGAAGATCTGAATAGTTAAAGCAGAATTTCTCAAGTTGGCTGTGAATTGATGCTAACATTGTCACCAGGTGGGTACTTTTCTAAGTTTCAACTGCAATAAGATATGTTTTTGAGGAAACCACTGGACTTAGGAACCATGATAATGCTCTCATGGAACTTCCTCCTCAATTTACCAAACTCATCATAAACAAGCGCAAATTTCTAGTTTAAGAGTAGAATCAAAGGCAATCATTTCAAGAAATTTATGCATTGACCTGGCATTGCATTTTAGGCAAACTACAAGCTACCAAATTTAGATGTGCTTTTAGGACACTGGACAGTCTCAACCTATATCGAATCAGAGGAAATGAACTTTATGGCTGAAAATTGAATATGAAGCATTCAAAACCATAGAGGAACAGAGTATGTTATTCATCAATTGATGTGACCTACAGTGTCATTAAAATTCTTACACTATTGCTTTTACTCTCATAAATATATTGGCCCTACAAAAAATTGTTTTGGTTGACTGATAGTCTCAACCTACTGCTTCCATTGGCTTCTCAAAAATGTGGTCACATCTAACTGCTAAAAAATAATGTGGAATAAAGACAAACCTCATACCACTCTTCTTTTTTTCCTTAAAGTCAAGGCTTGTTTATTTTATTACTACAGAAATGAAAAGAGGCTCAATGCTCTACATTGAAAGGAACTAACCCATATGAAATGTGCAAAGCTCCACATACCCCAATTATGATGCCACACCTTGAGGTTACACCCTTATTACAGTTATGAGGAAACCAAGGAAGTGAAGTTGTACTTAGTCCCTATTGAACAAGATCATGTCTTGGTGGAAATATTTGGGGTATGATAGTCTGAATGAAGCCTAGGGGGACTAGTTAGAGGTTGGGATGGTGATTCCAGCACCTTTCCTCATCCATCATCCATGTTCTTCACCCTCAGGTGTTATAGCCTTGCAAGCTCATCATCTGGGACAAAGCATCTTGATGATGGGAGTGTGTTGTTATGGAGACAATGAAATGATAAATAGTTAATAATGCTCAAGGGAATAAAAAGCCTCCCTTGATGCTGGTTTTGCCTTCCATTTTAAGGCTTTTGTTTCCTTATCACTGTGTGGCTATTTCACTGACTGTTTCAATCAAGTTGCATCATAAATCAACTTTCTGAAGAGAGAGGGACATGGGGTACTTGAAAAACCTGCCATGAAGAAGGTATGGAAACTAATAAATGAGTGATGAGAATTCTTGGTAAGTTTTTCTATGCCAAGTGTTTAATCTTCCTTTGAAAATAACATAAAAGAAATATAGAAAATATCCTAAATTCTTTCTCAAGGCATTGGGAGCCCCTCTCCCTCTGTGTTGTGCTGAGAACAAAAAATGGCCAAGTTTTACTTTACATGGATAGTCAGTATCTTTCATACTGACTTTACTAATGCTTGAGTTTACTAACAAACATGTTAATAGGTTAATTAATAGAGATTTTGCATTAAAAGTTGCATGCCCAAAGGAGCTTGGTTTGTGCTATTGACATAAAACCAGAATAGTGTGGTAGCCATTGATGATAGACCAGGACTAAGAAAGAAAATAAAATAATAGTGCAGCATTAAAAAGAGTAGCTGACCAGGTGGCCAGAAGGTAGCCAGCAGGGAGTAGAAGATGTTTGACTCAGAAGTGGAAGAGGCAGATATTCCAATGATAGTTTTGCAGATGAATTGTCCTTGCTGGGCACAGTCAGGGAATCCATTCCAGTTTAAAGCTGAATGCCTGGTGCTGGGCTGAGGAACTGCAGCTTGTGCTTTTCTGCCCTCTGCAGAAAACCTCCAGGATTAATTACAATTCCTCCCATGTTTTTATTGTTAGTACTAGTGTCTTGGTTCCAGAAGATTCTTGGAGAGTGCACTGTTCCTACCCTCCTAACATTAAATTTTTTGTTTTGTTTTTTATCTCATGTGGTAGTCTTCAGTGTTGACGAGAAAAAAGTGAGTTGGCACCTAAAATTCCTAGAGTCAGGTAACTCAGAGATGTGACACAACACTGGGAGCAGCCCCAGAGCCTAAGCAGGAAGGCCTTGTCATGTGGGCGGTCTCAACTGACTGACACAATCTCACAGGCTGCCCTGTCAGGTGACTCTGAGGGGGAGAAGTGGTCAGGTTTTTTGTTAGTATGCTAGCACTCAGTGACTGATCTTAGTTTCCAGATAAAAGACACTAATTTGTGTGCTGACCAGTGTTTCACTAAAGAAAGAGAAAAGAAAAACTAAAGGGAGCTGGTAGTTCCCTTAGAGTCACAGTGGTATGCCTGATCTGTCCTAAGGGGATACAGAAGTCTGAAATATATGGTTCAATTTACAACAGTTGATGAATCTGCCCATGATTTTTCAACTTTGTGTTAGTGTGAGAGTGATAGCATTCAGTAGAAACTATACTTCGAATTCTGAATTTGGATCTTTTCCCCAGCTGAGCTGGTGACATGGCAGCTGGTATGATATTCTCCCTTGCACTGTTTGGAGGTGGCAGCAAGTGCAGCTCTCAGTCAATCCCTCCTGGTCACTAGGGGACAAACTCTAGCATACTGTGCTGCTAAGCTAGAATGCTGAGTAGACAAGAGATATTAAATGCTGTCTTGACACTATATTTTCAGTTATGATGGCTTTATTTGATGTAATCCCATTTAACTTGATATGTATCTATATTATTTTATGTATGTATGTATTTATTTATTTATTTTGGCACTACCGGGAATTGAGTTACCAGGACATTCACACTAAGCTATATCCCCAGTTCTTATTTTACTTTTATTTTGAGGAAAAATTTCACTACATCATTAAATTGCCCAGTGATCTCAACTTGTGATCCTCCTGCCTCAGCCTCCCAGAGAGCTGGGATTACAGGCATGCGTCACCACCTCTGATTTACTATAATTTTTTTTTTGCTTCCCTCCCCGCTTCCTTCTTTCCTTTGCTTCTTATTTGTCTCTGTTTCTTGGTGTGAGTTGAAGGTGCAATGTGAGGTGGGTGTGGGAGGAAGTAGAAGGAAGCACTCTTGTTCAGAATTTATTCCACTACCACACTATATTAATTGTGAGTAATTGCATAAGGTACTAACATGTTAATAGCTCTTCAGCCTTCCAATCATATTTTAATGAGTTATTTAAAAGAAAAGGTAGCTTTGTGGTAAAAGGTCAGCAAAATGCTCAAAATATATATAATGATATATAAATCCTAAAATAAGATACTGAAATTAAAAACACTGGGAGCATTATTCCTTCTTAATTCTATTCTCATTATAGAAATAGCATTTAAAATATATGAGAATCATTGAGGTATTCTTGATTGCCAATGAAGTCCTTAGTTTTAAGAATTTGATAAAATTTTTCATTTACATTACATTACATTTACATTACCTCATATTTTACATTGAATTGTACATTTGTTTCAATTAGTTTTGCTTTGTACTTTTGAAATTTTGTCTTTATTTGAACTAACTGGCATTTGCCTAGATATTTTCATCTACAGTTTAGTGATACTCTTACAAATAATACTAAATTGTGACAGAGGTAATCCATGGAATAGTGAAGGCTCTTTAACATCTACTTGGTCTGTTCTAGAAGGGCCAGAACTTGACAAAGATCACAATATAATGGATGTTATTTCCTGTTCCCAGACAAGAGTTGCTTATTTAGCTGATGATATTGTTGGGTCTATGACAGTACAAATGGTCACTGGAAATTACCCAAGTCATACATGTGGAAATTAAATGATAGTGCTGTCACTGGAAAGCCAGATCCTGATGCAGCAAGGAACTGGACACTCACTTTCTTGGTCCTTGGTTCTTTGTGCTCTTGATGAAACAATTCAGTCAAGACACACGGGTCATGTGGAAGTCTGAGTGGAATTTATTATCAAGTAGATAAAGAATTATGCCTTCAAGCAAGAAGGCAGGCAGTGACACAAAGTGTGAGTTTGCTCCAAGTGTGAATTTGGATACACTTTTATGCACCCAAGAGTTACTCTTGAGGTCTGGAGAACTGGGATAATTATGATGCTGATCAACATTTTCCTTAAAAGTTACATAGGAATTGCGAAATGTCTTCCTGTCCTTTTTAGATAGTCAGTGTTTCCTCATGGGCTTTAATCATGTAAGGAACCTACAAAAGATAAATTCTTAATTCCAACCAGGTCCCAGCCCAAGGTAGGAATATCTTGAAAGAACATTTCCCTTCCTGACATCACTGGGGTATAGGGTATGGCAGCCAGGAATGCAGTATGCCTTGCTCTGAGATGGCTGGTTAGGAATCTGTACAGTGTATAACCTCAAAATGTCATTATTCTTTGTGGGATCATTTTAGGTTGGAAACCTAACAAATGATTATTGTATTATACATTGAAATTTTTCGATGATTAGTGGACATCCCACCTTTCTATACTTAGGCTTGCTAATGTCTAAATATCTGCGTAACAGTACTGCTCTGAAGTACTTAGGACAAAACTTAAGGCCTCATTTTTGCCTCTTTCCTTTCTCTGATAACTCCTCATATCATAAGCAAATTCTCTTGGGTATACCATTAAAATATAATGCAGAACCTGACATCTTTTCCCCAACTGCCACTTTTAACCATCCTGATCCAAACCATCAACTCCTGGGTGGATTATCATGATGTCTTCTTAACTGCAGAGAGAATTGTCAGTTGAAGGTAAAAATGGCAGCTGCAATATGTTTACATTCTTTTACCTTTGATGGCAGGTGGAGTCTAAATTTCTATTCAAATATTTGATTGCAAAACTAGAAATCCACTCAAAAGAAAGAAGGGAGGGAAATATAAATTTAGCTAAATTTATAAGGAGTAAGGCTTTGGAACTAGCAAGTGAAGACTGGAGATTCTCCTTCCCTGGAATTACTGCTATTTGGTCTCAGAGTGTCTGCTTGATCCTCTCACATTCCAAGAGCAAGCACTCTCAGCTTCAGCGTAACCAGACAGAACATGCCACCTGGCCTCTACCTGGCTTTCTCCTAGTTCAGTCCAACTGGAAATGCTGCAATTCAATTCTAAATTCTCAGAAGATGAGCTCTGGGCTTGGTTTATTTCATGATGCCTGCTGATCATCTAATAAACTGGAACCCAAAAACAGGGTCACCTGATTAACACACAGCTGCCCAGGCCCCCATCATTTCAGTGGGGTCTAGGGAGCCCATTCAGAAAAGGGAGCTTGAACTAGGCAAACCAAGTAATTAACACCTATACTACAATTTACCAATAATTTAAATTCAATATTCTCTTAAATGGTGTAGTGAAGCAATTGTTGTCATGCTCACCTGCTTTGAGGGCTTAATAAAATGAAATGAAGACAATAAAAGTTAATGCTAGTAAGACAAATAGATTTGACCTAACTTCTCAAAAGTTTCTCATTGAAATGTCTATTTTCAATGTCCATTTTATCTGAATCAGCATCCAGCCGCCCCTATGATGTCAGTACCAGAGTCTTCATTGATATGGTAAATCTTAAACCAGGTAATGAGGAATGGCAGATTTGGAAATTCAATGAATTCCTGGTCTTTAGCCTTCCATGCTCCATAATTTAGTGGCCTGTCTTTCTTTTGGAGTGTATTCTTTTTTTTTTAAAAAAAATTGTCTTTTTATTTTCATCTATTAACTCAATATTGTTTAGGGCCTCCCTGACTCAGCTAAATATAGTCTATCTGTCTTTAAATTGTCTGTGGTATGGTATTATGTCATTATGTCCTGGTTCATTTTTCACTAAGAAGGTAAGAAAGGATTTCATTTGGGAGAATGTCATTCGCCCAAAGGCAGAAAACTATGGAGTTGCTTGGAATCAACATACTGATTTATTCATTAAAATAAAAAAGAAAGAAAGAAACTTTGCTGAGGGAATATTACAGATAAATTCTCTGTTCTGTGATAAATTTTAATAATATAAATTATCAAATTTTTACTCAATTTATTCTAAATTTTAAAGACTTAATTTAAAACTTTTTTCTTAAATTTTTAATTCTAATTTTAAAAACAAACTAGTCAGTTAAAATAATTTGCTATAAATACCAGGAGCTTGAGGATCCATTATTTTATCTTTGTTTTCATGATAGTAGCTATTTTGGGACATCAGTATTTCTGACGAAATGGATTTCTGGGTATGTCCCACTCCCCTGGGTTTGGAGGGGATGGATTACAATTCAAAAAGCTAATCTATAGTCATCTTAAAATTCAGGGATCTTCTAAGAACTGAAGTTTTGGGAATGCCAGGATGAGTTTATAATCTGATGACAGTGATAGGGTATGGAAACCAATAAATATTGACCAGGCTTAAATTAGTGACCTCTTGAAGTCTCTTTCACCTCTAAGATCCTGATGGGAGACCTTGGGAAACTGACATTTTTAAGTACCTGTAGAGTGCTAAGCAACGTGGTCCACACTTTTCTGATTTATATTCCCCCAACCCCCAGAGTATCCTCATAAAACTTTAGGAAGAAGATAGTCAATCTCATTTTATACATGAAGAATTTGAACACAGGAAAATTAAGGAATTTGCCCAGCATTGCACATATTACTGGAGCATGGACTGAAATTCATGTGTGGCAAATAAACAAAGCCCAGGATTTTCCCACTACACCACAAAGATTCTATTTAAATTGTCCTTTCTCTAAAGAGTTTTATAAACCAATGATGACAAATTGCTCAACAGATATATTTTTAAACTAGGTGAAAAGACAGACCATATATTCTAGGGGATATGATCTTCTTGTTTTGCAGTTTTGCCTATGGAGTGGTTTGTATTTGTAAAAACCTCTCCAGGTAATCCAGAGAGAGGGTTAGAGGGTAGTCCTCAGAGGTAATCCTGAGCCTCCCTCCTGTTCCCCTGTTCAACTCTAACTCTTCTGACATTAGCTATGCACTGTGTCCCTATTTCCAAGCCTTTCCTGGCCAAGTAAGTGCACCATTCAATTCTCCTCCTTCCTTATTTCACAGCTGAACTCATTATTGTTTTACAATTACTTATTCATGTGAAGTTCGTCCCTTTGAGTCTGTGGTAGGCTTGTTGAAGTAAGACTCACATTTGCGTGTCTTCGGTGCCTAGGCACACTGTGTCATACGTGACAAAAAGTGTCTCAGAGAACTAAATTAGTAAACCAAAAGTTCAGAGCCACTTGGAAATAGTTATCGAAAGTCTTCAACTTTATGGTTTCTTCCTCCAAGTGAATTAACTGCCTACTACAGTAAATATTAAACCACAAATGAAAAAATTTTAGGTGTTAAATACAGCGCAGTCCTGAGACGCAGAAATTCCACAGAGAACTACATTTCCCGAAATGCACGAGAGGCCCAGTCCTGGTTGGTTTGCTGACTGTTCCTGAAGTCAGTTCACCTCGGCCAATACTAACGCCGGAATTTCCTGAACCTGGCAGGTGGCGGCCAATCACAAAGGGGAAGGCGGGCGCTTATGATTTGGGTTCGGTAGACACAAGCCTTTTGTGGGTCTTCTGTGGCTTTTCGCAGGGACCCTGCGGGGGCGGGAAGTCTTTAATCCGGAGATTACCCTCCCCATCCCCGCCCCTCGAATTAGAATCCTCGTCTAGGCTCTTTCCACCTTCATATTTTCCACTCCCTTCCTAATTCAGTCCCAGCCCTCTTTCCTAGCAGTCTGCGGGAGGATCCTTCCTGCACGACTTTCTGCAAACTTGAGCCAGACCTGTCTGTAAACATCCGAGGTAGACAGGACAAGTGAAGCGGCGGGTAGGTGGAGCAAAAACTTCCTCCGGCTCTCCTTTCCCGGAGAAGTTCCTGGGGTTGCCGACAGTCTGATCAGCACTGCAGAGAGGATTTAAGGTCCCGAAAACTAGTGGCAGCGCGACCTCACAGGGCCGGGTCTGGGAGCCGTCCCCTTCGGCAGCCTGTTCTGTCCTAGCAGCGATTTGCCACCGCCGGACTCATTTTACCCACAGCAACAGCTTCAGAAGAAGCTGGGCTTCCCTGTGCCTCTGGGTTCCTCTCCATTTCTACCACCTGTCATTCTTTTGCCACTCGCATAATTTTTGCCCAGACACTCTTTGTCAAAACACTGAATCTAAATCCATCCAAAACGAACCCCTTTAGAATAAAGCGCCAACCCTAATATTGCAGCCAGCGGCCGGGAGCGTGCACCTCGTGAAGGTGGGGGAGAGGAGGGGAAGCATCACCCTTGCTTTAATGGTCAAATGTAAAGTCAAATTAACGTTCCCTGCTGCTTGTGAGTCGCCAACTTTTTACTGTGCCAGCTGCAGCAGAAGCAGCTGCGAACTCTGGTGAGGCTAGACTAGGGTGGGCGAAAGGGAGCCAGCGTCTGGGATTTTCGCAGAGGATCACTGAAGGACCCCGGTTTTCTCGCGGTTGGGGAGGAGGGTGGGGGTGGGGAGTCACGCCTGCGCACGCGCGGTCCCCGCTCCGCCGAGGCCCAGCTGCCGCCAGCGCCGCGGTGGGCTCCGGTAGCGCGGCTGCTGCTGCCTCTGCTGCTCGCGCGGGCTTCGGTGCCGAGTGCCCAGCGCCCAGTCAGGCGAGAGAGAGCCTCCGCCCGCGGCGGCGCCTGAGGAGGGCGGCGGGGTCGGTGGTGACGAGACAGGGTTGGACCGGCGGCGAGGCGCCCACCGCGGCGTCTAGCGTGCGATGCCGAGCGGGCGGCGGCGCTAAGCGGCGGGAGGCCGAGCAGCGGTGGCGGCGGCGGACCGCGGAGGAGCAAGAGGCGGACGCACCGAAGGACTACGGAGCCGGGGCGGGCACGGGGCGGCGGGCCGGGGGCCATGGGCGCCGCGGGGGCGAGGCGGGGCGGCGGCGCGGCGCGGAGCCCGCCTGCGGCCAGGTGAGGCCAGGCGGCGCGGACGCGGGGCCCTTCTACGGCTGCTGCTCCCGCGGGGCCGCGGGCCGAGGAGCTGAGGCGGCGGCCTCTCAGGAAGAGGGGTCGCGGCTTGCTCGCGCTCTCTTTTGCCGTCGCAGCGTTTCCTGTGCAGATTATCTCTGGCTTTCCCCCTCCGCGGCCGTCTGCTTCCCTTCACACTCCCTCTCCGCTGGGTGCTCGGACGAAGCTGCCCTCCACTTCGCCTCGCCCCCCGCCCTGATCTCCCCTCCTGGGCTTGGGGGGGACCCCGCCGGGACCATGAGGAAATTCAACATCAGGAAGGTGCTGGACGGCCTGACCGCCGGCTCGTCCTCGGCCTCGCAGCAACAACAGCCCCAGCAGCACCCGCCCGGGAGCCGGGAGCCCGAGATCCAGGAAACACTCCAGTCCGAGCACTTTCAGCTCTGCAAGGTGAGCGGAGCGCGCAGCCCCGCGAGGCTGTCAATGAAAAATTGGGGTCTTCTGAGGTGGTGACCGCAGCTTTACCGGGCAGGGCGAGGGAAGAGAGTGCCGATGATGATCATAGCTTTTGTAAGAGGCTCGCTCTTCTTGGCACCGTTTCCTTTCTGGGGTATTTTGGAAACTGATGTTTACTACTTTTCCTTAATTTTTTTCTCCTCTTCCCCTTACACATAACACCATTCATTTCAGGGCTGCTTCAGACATATTATCTGACCTTTAATTCGTATCATGACACCGCTAGCAGTAATCTGGACGCTGTCACATTCAAGCATTTTCATATAATTCGCCAACTTCGAAATTTCCTTTGGAAACAGTGTGGAATGAATATTGTTTATCAGAAAGCCAAACCTGTTCAACCAGATCTTAGCTCATCATTTTCCCCTAAAATGTTTATGAGTGGCTTACAATATGAAATCGCACCGTTCTTTTTGTTTTATATTTCGTAAAAAGTTATTTCGTGATATTGCCTCTTAATGGCACGGTATTTGCCACAGCGTTCTGTAATTCAGAAAGAATGATGCAGCGAATTAATTCACCAGCTGCTCGATGAGAAATAAACTTGTCTTGTTATTAATACCTGTCTTTCTTATTAATAGCCATGCGTTCATATGTCAGGGTTTCTTAAAAGTGTGCAATACACTTTTTGCCTTAATGCCCCCAAATTGTAAACTTGTTAGTAAATTTCGATGTGTTCATTTTCATTCTTTTACATTTATAAAATGTTGGGATATAGGTTTGATAATTGCCTTATTATATCCTTGACTTGAAGTACTTAATTGAATGACAGCTTTTCTTAGAAGTACTTGCATTTAGTAGTCAAATAAAGTAACCATGAGGTGATTCCTCCTGAAGCACGAGTCACATTTTAAAAAGAATTTATAAAATTTTGTGTGACTACAACATTTTGGCATCAGGCATAATCGTATAGAGTACTAACAGGAAATTTTATTGTATAGAGTATCAGTATTCTGGAAAAGGAGAAATTCATGTGTAAACACTGCTAATAGATTTTTGTTTCAGGTACTGTTAATAACTTTGTTAAGCTAGAGCTCACTTTTTTTTTTTAAAGGCAGTATTGCATGTATATGTGTTTTTGCATCAGGGATAGTTGGTTCTAATGCCTCTGTTGACTTTTCTGTTTTTGAATTTTGCTTGCTCCCTTGGTTACTGTGGTATCACTTGCCCATCTCTAGACTGTTCGCCATGGATTTCCCTATCAACCCTCAGCCCTGGCCTTTGATCCTGTACAGAAGATCCTGGCAGTGGGAACTCAGACGGGTGCTTTAAGGCTGTATCCTTTCATTTTGTTTTTAAGCTTTTGTTTCCCTCAGTCCTTCAGTGTTGCTAATTAGTTTCAATTGTTTTTAAATGTTTCCTGTTGAATTCCAAAGAAATAGTGTAATCAAGTATCTGTTAGGAGAAATTACTTGGTGCTGGCTTTTCCATTGATTATCCTTTTGATTATTCAAGTTATATGTTGCTGTCCTGGTTTCCAACTCTCAGTATATAGTACCAAAATATATATCAAAATACAGGTGTAAAGTTTTGTTGTACTCTGTTCTTTGCAAAGAGCTAGAAGTTTGTAAGAGGGGGAGTATATCTGCTTATGCCAGTGGTCTATTAAGTTGAAGGATGAGGTTTAAAGACAGTAGTATGGTGCACATTTTAACTGCCTTTTAAAATGTTGTGCATGGTAGATACTGCTTATGACCAATTTATTAGGCTAATGAATTAGAGGTTGGCTTTGAATTTGGTTTCCTACATGTCCATCTAGAAAAATCTAATATTAGCAGAAGACAAATGTAGCAAATTGGTTTTCTGTAAGTAGTTATGAAGAGTTAATAGTTTTGAAAGTCTTAAGAGCATTTTCTTATTAAATGCCTAGGGGTAAATGTACTTTCTTGATACATTTTTCCCTTTTATAGTCTATATTTGTGTTTTATTTATATATATATATATATATACACACATACACATATCGGCTTTCAGGTAAAGTATTGATACAGAAAGAATTTTTTTCCTGGTTATGCATGAATTGTAGTGGTTTTGTCATAGCATTTTTTTTTTTCAAACACTTCAAAAGATATTTTCCAACATCACTTTTTTTTTTAGCTTGGGTAATGGAGAGCTCTTCCTCTTTTATACCATTCTGCTTGAAATAAAGTTTATGTTTGCTTTTTCTATGGCATTCAATCATACTTAACTAAACTATTCCTTTTAAACTTAAACATAAGATTTTAAAAAGTTTTTTTTAAAAAAATCTATCTGTAGGCTGCTTCCCACATATTTATTGAGGTACTATGTTGGTAATGAATAGAAAAAAATCATTAGATAATCTCACTGAGTATTGCTATTATTAACAAAAATGGGATAAGTAGAGCTTTACCTATTTATATATTTAGATTTATTTTCATTTGAGTTAAACACATGCCAGACATCTTTGATTTTTTTAAATCATTATTTTAAAGAGGTACTATATGGTATCAGGATCTGCCTCAAGTTTCATTCGTAGTTTAGTATGCTATCTTCAAAATGCTAATGATAGTTTTCAGATAGTGTATTGAACTATGCTGCTACTGGAAGTGTGCCATATATAGTAAATACTAATAGTGCATTTCTGTCTATTTAGAGGGTAAAATTTGACCAGGCTAGATCTGAATCTCTTGATTTCTGAGACAGTTTGTCTAATTGCTCTTGCCAGAATATCCAGATAATTGGAACCCCACTTTCTAGTTTAGGGTTCCTGTTTTAGTATTGTGAAGATGGGAATAAAGTTAATTTTGTCAGTATTCAGCAAAATTCTGTGATGTCAAGACTAGGGCATTGTTCTAGAAGGCCTCTTTGGAATTGAAAATAGGTTTTCTTTTCCCAACAGAATTTCATTACTTGACCAGAAGAAAAAAAAGTGAAGCTGAGTGAAATCAATTATTTTTAGATTGTTTAGCTTTTTTAAAGAGTTCAGTATTTACTGTTTTCTCAGTGTGGTCTCAGCAGTTTCATAGTGTAAAACTTTTTTCTTTTAACTGCCGATCTGGCCCTTGTTTTTGATAACAGGGACCTTGTGCTTGCAAGGCAGGTGCCAGAACCACTGAGTTAAATCCCCGGCCCCAATCAGGCCTTTTTATAAATTAGTTATAAGTAAGTTCAACCAACAAGGTTGATTTTATAAAACCAAATATTTTTCTTGGCCAGTGCATACTTTTAACACTAATGTATCTGAACAGTTAGCAAGTGGACACAAAAGGTATAGTTAAAACGTTAGGCCTAGTGCTAATTGCAATTAAAAGGAAAGATCAAGTGTACAGAATTATTACTTGTCTATCACTTTTGGTATACATGTTTTTATAGTTAAATATTAAATGAATGAAGGTGAATCTGTAATTACAGTTTACACTTATACTCTCTTTTAGAATCCTGTTACTATATTTAGGGTCTGGAAACCTACCAAATTTCTTTCTGCTTTTCTTTGTTATGAGATTTATATAAACATTCCAGAGTGATAAATTGGCTCGCCTACCAGTAAATACCACCTAGTCATTCCTTCTGTTAGGTTTAGTAGCAGATGAGCTTATGAGCTTTATTTATTATGGCTCTGATTTATAGAAAATGACTAAGCCCTTTTTATTTTTATCTTTCTACTTATGTGGCTTAAGATATACATTAAATTCTTTGTTATTTTTTGAAACTAGACACTTAAAATTTTTAGATTCTAATGGAATCTATCTATAGATTCTGTTGATTCAAGGTTTTTTTGTGTGTGGTATTGGAGATTGAACCCAGGGGCTTGAGCATGGTAGGCAAATGGACTTCCACTGAGCTACATGCCCAGCCTCCGCCTATTTAAAAAAACTTTTTGAGGCAGGTCTTGCTACGTTGCCCAGGCTGGCCTTGAACTCCTGATCCTCCTGCCTCAGCCTCCAGGTAACTGGGATTACAGGCATCTGGCTTCAGTAATTTTTCTATAGATTCAAAACACTGTATTTAACATGCATATTCATTACAAGTCTGTTTATTGCTCTTTAGTTTTCCCTGTTGCAGTTGGTTTCTTCTGATCCTTCTCTTTATTTTCTCATATTAAACTCTAATAGTTTGTAATATATTTTCCCTAAAAGGTGTCTTTAGAGGATAAATTTACTTTTAAATAAAACCTTTTCATTTAACTTCACAGCAAAAAGTAGATTCAGAAACTAGGAGAATTCTAAAAGTGTATCTAAAAGTAAACTTCCTTTTTATACTAATTTGACTAAGAAGGTATCTTCCTAAGTGTTGAAATACTACCCCTAAATGTTGATTTGTCTATTTTGAGTTCAAAACAAAATACCCTCCTCCCCAAATCTGGATGAGAAAGTTATATTAGGATCTAACATTTTTAGACAAAGATTATTAAAAATCTGAATCCTAAAATAATACCTAGCCAATAATGAGTCTAAATAGATTTAATGTACTTGCTTCATATACAGCAAGTAACTGATGTTATTATAAATATACTTAATGCTCTATCTTCTAGGCTTCGGGGGAGAATATGAGGTTGGAATTATTTAATAGGAAGCTGAAAGCAAAATTTTATATATCAAGTTATATAGCGATGATATGACTTAACTGTCTTAATTCTTTCCTTGTAATGTAGAAATACACATGACTTGATCAGAACTATTGAGATAAAATAGTCTATTATCTTTTTGCCTGTGCATAAGTAAAAGGAAAAAAAAGAGGGGAGGGTGTCCTAACTGAGGAATGAAGGTAGTTTTAATAATTCTGCTGTCTCTAAACTTCTGGTTCACTAGTTTAATTTGAAATTGTTTTATAATGCTAATACTTTTTAAGGTAAAATTTTATTTGAAAACACTGAGAATGTTTTATATATTGATATTTCAAGGACCAAGCATAAAAATGGAATTTTAGACTTACTGAATTGGTATAAAAATTTGAGATTTAAAAAAATTGCCAGTAGGCAATGTCTAGTTTGATAAGATACAGTCTTATAAATTGCAGGCTAATATTGCTGGATACAAGCTTATAAAGTGATTTTTATACCTTCTAATTAATTTAACAAGCACTTATCAAGTGTCAGGCAACATTCAGTTATAAATTGAGGTCTGAATTTGAGTTCTTGTTTTTTCATTAAGGAATAATGTGTCCTTGGATTAATTTTCCTTCTTAGTGTAAAAAATAAAGATACTGTATTAGATGATTTCTTCAAAAAACAATTCTGTGGTTTTAAGTAGCTATATATTTTTCTAGGTGAGTAATGCAAAAAAATGAAAATGTGATCCTCACCTTTAAGAGTTTCCAGTCCTAACCAGTGGACTAGAGCCAGTTAAGTATAATTGAAATTAGAGATTTATTTAGGGGTTTGAGGACATTACACAAAGTTAGATTATAGGTGAATTCTGTGTATTTGATGAATGTTTCTGTACATTGGTATATAAGATTCAGAATGGCAGGGAGGAAGGAAAAGGAAAATTATTTTAGGCAAGGAAAAATAGTGTTGGCATAAGTATAGCAAAGAGAATTGTATTAGTTTGAAAAATACTAAGAAAAACTGGATGGATTAGTAATTCTAGTTAAATTGGAGGGGAAAATAAGCCAGTTTGTTGAGTCTTAAGTGTTAACCTGAGGTATCTGCATATTACTCAGTTAGGGATCATAGTTATGTAATGAGATGTTGAGAGGAAGAAAGTGTGGTTGTTTTCATGTGATTAATGGGCCAGAGGTGTCCTGGATGAGACAAGTTGAAACCTCCTAAGTAACTGTTAATCAAACAGGTAGTAAAGTAGACCCAAGAGGTGTGTAAGAATGGGAATTGGAAAAAGACTTCCTGACTTGTGTATAAAATCTTAGGGAGTAACTAAAGATGATAAGGTTTTCCACATAAAGCCATGAAGCAGTTATAAAATGGAAATGGAAAATTTGGCAAAGTGATGATAGAAAAATGTTGAGATTGAAATTATGCCATCTTTTACTTTTATTATAATGCCACTTGGAGAAGGCAGCCTAGATGTCTTATTTTGGCATGGGAATTTGATACACTTTTATGTTTGATTTCCTTTTGGGCTAGTTCTTGGTGATTTCCTGAATTTTGTTACTGAATTATGTTCAAAATCTTTATTAGCTTTTTGGCTTTGACAATTCATTCTCTGTCATTGTTTCTCAATAACAGTTGCATTTTGGGCAGATTAATTCTGTAATATTCCTGATCCCCATCTACGAAATGCCAGTGTTGTCTCCCTTGTCAGTGTGTCAACCCAACCACTCCCACACTCTTCCACGTGTGCTTGGTTGAGAGTCATT